CCTTATAAATGGTTGTTTTTGTTGTTTCCAATTTAGTGAATCGTTCTAACAATGAAGTTCTTCGGATGGGAGTTGAGTTGAAGAACATTTTCAAATTGGCTGATTCCATTATTGAAAATTAGTTGGTTGTATGAGAAAATCCAAAGAATCAAGTGATCAATTTTTTTTTATCTCTTGGAGCGCACGAAAGGGAATCCCTACAATGTTAAAAGAACATCGTTCGTGGATAGGGACATGGAGTAGGTATTGGATTTTTTTTTGAACTTTTGGAGATTATATGTTGTTGGGAATACTTCCACAGGCAATGAATTCCAGAGCCTAGCTGTTCTATGGATGAAGGAGTCTTTATAAAGTGCTGTTCGACATCTTTCGAGGTTGACAACGAAAGGATGTGCTGACTGGGCTTGTCTAGTTCGATGTAACAATGTGGTAAAATAGTACTTTAGTATATGTAACGAAAAATAGATTCATTATTGAATCGATTCTGTTCCTGGCAGTCATATAGACATTTTTCCCGAAAACAACAAAATACAGAGTCTTCCAAAATTATCATCTCTAACTGAAATGCTCAAAAGTTATTTATCCGCTATACAATACCCACATAATTTATTTTTATGCTGTGTCAATCAGATCGCCAGAATGAGAACTGTCTAAAATATAAAAACAAGTTTCATTCAATGTACTGCTAAAATATCCCGTCCAGTCACAAACAGTCCTATGTTATAATTCGTACCCCCCAAATTTGAATGACTATACACAAGAGAAAGTCTAGAGTTATAAGATCAGGTGATCTTGGTGGTCACAAGGATTTTTTCAACCAATCCAATCCCACTAACTCTGTCAAATACCAACCGATTCTCGAAAAAGGTGCACCAATATTCTGGCAATGGAAAGGGCTCTGGAATGATGTGTTGATCAGTATAGGGTGATTCCATTTGAAATTTCAAAGTTAGAGTAGCTTGGGTTTAGGGGGATGAACATATTGAGACATGTTGAAAATGTTCCTCACATTAACAGAAATTGACAAATCGCTGAACCTAATTGGGTTTTCTATAGTTCTAGGGGGACAATCTCAGGAAATAGAAATACCAAGATGGTGTGGAGAATACTATAAATGAATATCTAATGTTAATTTCTTCTAAAACAATCAAAGCAAGAAATAAAATCAAATTTTTTAACATTGTGCTATATTTTATAACTAAAAACATATAGTGTTTTGCCAAACCCATTCCTGCCTGATGAGCAATATTCATAACGTCATCTTAAATGACTCAGGTGGAATTTACCATCTACCGAATGTGTAAACCATAGTATGAATATGAGATTATGCCAATTATCATAATTATTCATGAGCACTTGATCATGAAAATTTGGATACATGATTTATAGACTTATATTTCAAATAGTTTTTAATTATATGTTGGCTATATCTTCTGAACTTCGAACTGACAAAAACTGAATACGCTATGGCGAACGATGTTCTCATGCAAGCATCAGATTCGATGTTTTGAAGCCATCATCAAATTTATAGAGGTCACTTTGAACAGATCTTATATTCTTTATATTCCACTTCATAGACGGTTGAAATAACTTATCCAATGTATTCAATAGAAAAATTGTTCACCTAATCAAAACTCCTTTTTTCCATGATGATTCAATCAGATATCCATAATAACAATTTGAATACCATATTTCGAAGCAGTTTTTCCAATAGCACTGAGAACACCGATGGTTTTTTCTTTTTTTTTCCTTTTCTCACTTCAGTATTGGAGTAAACTCGATTTTTCGATTTTCAAAAGAAGGAAAATCTCATTATACTTCACTTCCCTTGCAAGTTGGAGGTGGAGTTTCTGAAATTAACTTTGGTAAAACTGCACTCATCATGCGATGGGTTTTTTATCGAAAATGTTTTTTGTACTTGTATGTATTTTCATCTGAAAAACACGAATTTCACAATGAAAATGTGAACAAACTGCTATTGATCGAGATATTTGATGAAAAAGTGCGAAATTTCACCTTCTCTTGCAACCCATCTAGGATATTCATGTCCAACTACCTGTCTTCCTTTTTCCATCACTGGACACTATATACTCACGTTGTACTTCAATAACACATTTTATTTTCTGAAATCAACAAGACGTATGGTTAATTTGGAATTCATTCATATTTAGTGTTCATCAATGGGCGTGTACACCTTAGAACTTTTAACTCAAACCATGTTTATAATGATCATTTTATACATAAATAATGATTGACGTCATAATTCGATCGAAAAATTAACTGGAATGTTTTATTTTTGGACATAAATAATAGTACCTTCTGAAAACGGACCTCTTATGACGTAGAAACCTCATCTCGCCATAGTTGAAAGAAAATACCAAACGCCCGACGGAGACTGAGGCAACTGATATATCAATTCTTTCAACTGTCATCTCCCGCTAATTCACTCTGTGAGAAATCATGTATCATTCATCTCTGTCTGGAATAGTCTTGTTTCAGTATTAGGGTTTTGACGTCACATCATCGCCTCGTTTTCAGAGGTCCGAAAAATCGGGGATTTCAATATTTTTTTATAAAACATATAGGGAGCTCACAGCAAGACACGGTTTGCGGTGGTGAGCTAGTTTGGGTGAGTTCTATCGAATTATGAAATAAAAGTTTTCTCTGGTATAAGCTCATTCACATGACCAACATGTGAATTTTCGAAAAGTAGCTAAAACCTTATTCAAAAATTCTTCGTTTTCCTAAAAAATTCCCAAAGCATTGTGTTTGTCATGAAAATTGATCCTCAGGCACCGAAATCAGTCACCATATACCTAGTTGCAAAATATAACTTGAAACAAAATATATATAACTTTCCCTTATAGAAGAACAAGTTATATTCTTGAACTAGTTATACAGTGTGACCCACTTCTAATGAAAACACCCCTGTATCTCACGTAATCGAAGGGTAAGGATCCTGAAATTTGCTGGGGTGAGAGACATACCAAAAATGCCCTCTATGACCAAGTGGGGTCATCTTCAGTGATATACACTGCTCGCCAATAGTCATGGAGCCACTTCAATTTCCGGAAAATGATATCAGAAGGCAAAATCACTTTGGATTCGGAATTAGGACGTCCATGCAATTCACTAACTATTCATAGTTTTCCTATGAAATTTTGAGTTCGGAAAAATTAAATTTTGTCTCACTTCTCATGGAAGCACATCCGTATCTCACGTAATTATTGAGGTAGGTTTCTGAAAGTTGTATATTTATTTATTTATTTATTTATTGAAGTCATATAGGATAACAACAGGCATAACCCAAAGTGTTATCCACGGATACAGTTGAGCGTACAGAAAAAAAATACAGATTACAATTTTTTCTTAACCTAACACTACTTCAAGAAACATTTGATGTTAGCTATGAAATTAAGTATTTCTCTCTTATTTTCGATTTGAATACAAGTAGTGAATGATTGAATAACTCAATATCATCGAACTTATCATTGTAAAGTGTCACCATTCTATGTAGGGGAGAGTTTTTTCCTAAGTTTGTTCTGCAAAACGTTTCAGAGAAGAGACGAGTATTCCTCAGAGAACGAGTTGGAACATTGAGATATATATTTGATAAAATTTCAGGGGAGTCGATCAAGTCATTCATAATTTTGAATAAAAATATTATGTCGGATTGCTCTCGACGAGCCTCTAGTGTGACCATATGAAATTTGTTTCTCAGGAAGGCTGTACTAGTTGTAATGTTATGTTCCCCACTATTTCTATATTCAAGATATCTTAAAAATTCATTCTGTATGATTTTCAATCTAGTCTTGTATATAGCATATGGCAGGATAAGTCCAAAGATAAAGTCGATTACGTAAGAAACGGGGGTGCTTCCGTAAAAAGTGCGACAAAATCAAATTTTTCAGAACTAAAAATTATCCAGAAAAAATATGAATAGTTAGTGAATTGGGCATCCTGGTTCCGAATCTGAAGTGATTTTCGACCTATTTTGACTCCTTATATCATTTTCCGCAAATTGGACTGGTTCCATGTCTGTTGGCGAGCAGTGTATATCACTGAAGATGACCCCACTTGATGACCAAGTGGGGTCATCTTCAGAGGGTGCATTTTTGGTATATCTCTCGCTCCAGCAAATTTCAGGATCCTTATATTATGTTCATAATTATATCTGAGAATATTCCTTTTCAATACTTTCGCTCAATCAAAGGGTTCAAACTTGAAAGATGAAAACTTGTTTTTTATAGACATTCAATCGCATATTCGTGATAAGGCTTTTTTTCCACGCTCTGTATGATGAATATCAATTTATCATACATCCAAAAACATCATTTTGTGATTTATTTTTTCAAGGATTTTATCTAGTTTCTGCATATGCGTATAATATACATGATTTTATCTATGAACACATATTTCTTGAAAGCTCTCAATACAAATCAATGTTTGTCACAAAGGTATAGTAAGCCATGGACAATTGACGGTATTTGAACGTGAAAAAATATGACATTTCTGTCATCAAGAATCAATGACGGATCACATAGATATATCGACGCCAATGAAGCATGCTGAAACTAATATTTTTTTCTCTCGTGGGACGTAATTCACGTAATTTTTTTTCTCATAGGAGTTAATTGGCATTTTTGTTTTATTAATAAGGGAGCAAACGCCTACTTCGATTCAGTGAGTAGATTAACGAAAATAAATGGTTGTTCAGTTACAACCATGGCTTGCTAAGGAGCCGGTGTATAACTATAAATATAAACAAACGAACCACGCTGGATTCTGTCTTTGGGAGGGGGTGAAATAAAGCGCTCGTCGTTTCATTGGCCAGTGAAAGTATACTTAATTTCCGACTTATATATCAGCAAACTTTGCGGAAAGAATGATTAGAAAGATACATTATGTCAAGCATGCAGTTCGATTGTTATTGAAAGGCGAGAGGTTTCATAAGAGGTTTACGTAAAACCGAGTGCATAGGAATTATTTATTTTTTTTAGTGCAAACGTGTATGTAGTGTTCTTTCCAGTTTTTGTTTTGGATTTTTGGAATTTTGAAAAGTGAGTAAACGGCATTTTATTTGTTTGCTTCATTAGGAAAATGTCTTTGCTATTGATATTCCCATACTTACTCTTCTAATATCGAAAAATTCGATAGGTACCTAATTCTGATCGTAGAAACGAAGAACAGAATTTTATTTTTGTTAGTGCATCCCAATAATTTTCGAATTGTTATTATAGTTTTGAACATAATCCACTTCGGAATATTCCAATTCGAAATAAATGCATTTCTTCAAGGGATATCATTCAAATCTATTTCGGAAACTAACCTAGCTGAAAGAATAACTATTTCACATTCACAGAAATTTCACATTCAACCATTGAAGTGAAAAGGTAAAATATTTGACGGGTTCTAATGAAATAGTTTTTATTCTCATCCAATCACTATGCAAAATGAGGTATTTCGAAAGAGTCGTAGTCGTTGAAAAAATGTAGAAATATATTTCACATTCAAAACCATTAGTCTGACTGGGTTTTGTGAAGAACAAACTACGAAAACTACATCAACAAGAAAAATGATCATAACTTGCACCAAAAAAAAATTGGACAAAAAATATATGAACATCAGCTCACGAATTTTCACGAAAAAAAATATTTTTGAATGAGAAATTATGATTTTCTGAAGTATTTTTCGAAATGAAAGCATTAATGAGCTGGGTGCCCATTAAATTATTTTTATGCATTATTTATAAATGTTTGAAGTATCTCTTTTGGAATAATTGGCAACAGTTTTTGAGATAAGCTTATAAGCTCTGGAGAAAAAAATGTTTATTGCCTCTATGTACCTATTTTATTGGTATGTAGGTACCTAATGTATATAGTTGGAACAAATCATGCAGATTTTCGAATATTTCTTAATATAGATAGTCAAAAAATAAATTGAAACAATAATAGAAAAAATAGGTATTTGGCAAATTGATGTTTTCAAGAATCCAAAATGTTCCAGGGTTTTTTTAAGGAAATCAAGTATCAATTGGAAATAATTATCAGAATGTAAAGTGCATATTTTTTTACATGGATGGGAACGTTTCACATTGATAAAACATTCCTACTCAATTATAACACTCATATCATCATTTGTAAATGATATTTTTTCATTTTTTTGATCAGTCGCATGATATTACAAATAGTATTTGAATGATCGGAGAACTCTTGAGATTTTCAATTAATATCCACATTTATAAATATAAGATGCAAATATTCTCAAGGGAAATATAGAGTGACTAGACAGAGATTTTTGGACATATATATGTATATATATTATATATATTGATGAATATTCGGTAAATCGGTTGATAGCATCATATATTTTCCTGTTAAAAATATGAGCAATACATCATGAGTTGTTCACACTTATTTGCTTGGGTTATATAGACTTATTGACGGGTAGTGAAATAAAGGATGTCCCAACGTCAAGCGATAATAACAAAATATGATATTTCACCATCATAATCTGAATCCATATAGGTATAGAATTTGATTTATGAACAATCATACGAATACTTTGAAATTATGAATTTGTGTATTGCACATAATAAGGCACAAGAAAATAATTGATGACTAACAAGCAAAATCACTTAATTTTTCTTTTAACTATATCTGAAAATTAAGAGATGTTGCCACTAGTACAACTGCTGAACCGATAGGCTTTCAACACATATTTATACTAACTAGCTGTCCCGTCAAACGTTGTTTTGCCATAAACATTATCCATAGAACATATTTTTTCAGTTGAATATTCATCAACATACTTTTATCATTTTATCTTCTACTTCTTTTTAGTTTGGCTGTCCAGGAAAGCGTGTTTCTTTATAGTTTTTCAAACTATTCTATTTATTTTCTACTTCTTTTTACTTTGGCAATCTATATCTTGATTTTAACAAATACTCTTTATTTTCTATACTTGCTTCTTTTTAGTTTAGACGCGTGTTTCATTATGTTTTCGAACTACTATTTATTACAATAGCTGAACCGGCACACGTTGTTTTGCTATATATATTTGTTACTAGAAAATATTTTTTTAGTTGAATATATATTATATCAACACACTTTTATTATTTTGTTTTCTACTTCTTTTCAGTTTTGCTATCCATAAAATTGTGTTTCATTAGTTTTTCAAACTACTATTGATTTTTTATTTCTTTTTAGATCTCGTTTTTAAAACTATACTATAAATTTTCTACTTTTTCCCAGTTTGGTCTCGAGTTTGGCCATCTATAAAAGCGATAGTTTTTCAAATTACTATTTATTACAAAGACCGTTCGTCATATTAAATTCGCCATCTTCAATTTCCCAATTTTGAGAAAAAACATTATAATCTCCTACCCCGAAATCTCCCAGATACAAATTTTGAATAGAATCGGACCTAATTACGAAACTCGTTCGCCATATTGGATCCGCCATCTTTAATATCCTGATTTTGACGGAAGAATCATAATCTCCAGCCCCGAGAACGCCCAGATACCAATTTTGAATAGAATTGGATTATAGTTGCAAAACTCGTTCGCCATATTGGATCCGCCATCTTGAATATCAAAATGTTGATGAGAGAATCATAATCTCCGACCCCGAGAACCTCCAGATACAAATTTTGAATGGAATCGAATCATAATTACAAAACTTGTCAGCCATATTGGATCTGCCATCTTCAATTTCAAAATTTAGATTAAAGAATCATAATCTCCGACACCGAAAACCCCCAGATACTAATTTTGAAAATAATCGGACCATAATTACAGAATTCGTTCGCAACATAATCATATTGGATTCGTCATCTTGAAGTTCCAATTTTTTTCCAAATTTTGACGAAAGAATCATAATCACCGACCCCGGAAACCACCAGATACAAATTTTGAATAAAATCGGTTCACAAAACTCTTTCCCCATATTGGATCCGCCATCTCGAATTTGCAATAAAAAAAATAGCTTCTCATTATATTTCTGTCTGTTTGAACTTCAAACTTCAGAAGAACTATACTTGGTGAATAATTCACTACTAACTTCAGTAGTAATAAATCAAAAAGTTGAATTTTCTTCATTCTTCATTCATTCATGTATACATACAAGCACTCATAAAAATTTGCACTCAATAATGATATTCAGCAGCAAAGACATTTTCCGAGCTCACTAGACCACCGCTAAAATTCCAAAATTCTAACGAAACCCGTTCCCATCAGGTGACCAACTTCGCCAAAAAGTGAAAGACCCCATTAAATATCTAGTGTGCTACGATTTCGGCAGTTATCTTCCATCCAAGATCGCAAATCTGCGCTGCTCGAACCTAAGCTGTCCTAATTAAGTACGTAAAGTGAAGAAAACGCCGAAATGAAGGAATTCTTGGCCTTGTGGAATAGGCTTGTTGGGACCACCTACGATGCAGTGAACACGAACCGAGCTGTTCCAGAACATAGGAAGGCCAGGGAATGCTTCCAGGAATATCCTGTGGAACCTTCTTGCAGTGGAGCCAGGAAATACAGAAGTAAGTGTCAAGCTTGGAGAGGATGGTGTGGTTCAGTCCGAAACAGAAGAGCGACAACACTGTCAATGGTTTTCTGATTTTTGATCACTGAAGTTGAGATTTTCGTTGCTAAGAGGTCGATCACATCACATCACTTGTTTTGTGGAAAATAGCAGAGGAACCATAAACTGAAACTGATTCAATTATCGAAATTTTTTGCTTGTTCGCTGTTTTGAATCCAGTTTCACAGTTCCTTAAGGGGTTCATTATCCAGTATAGTATTTTAATCTGATGGCATTGAACTTGCATGAATCATATAAACAATTGATTGTACATAATATATATACAGGGTCGCGCCGATTCTATAGGGACAGTATATTCCAACTACGAAAAAGCGAAAATGCCTAGAGTGGAATGAAATGTTGGATAAATATGCATAGCTCGAAGTCATTATTTGAGCCTACCGAGATTTGTGCAACAAAAAAAGCGAGAAAAGTATAGATTTCAATTGTTTTAAAATAGAAGAGAAACCATTCACTGAATCTGATTCAATTATCGAAATTTTTCGCCTGTTTGTTGTCGTCAATGCAGTTCTATACAGTTCCTAAAAGGGTTCATTATCTAGTATAGTATTTTAGTCTGATAGCATTGAGCTTGCATGAAATATATAAACAATTGATTGTATATAATATATATACAGTGTTGTGCCGATTAAATAGGGACAGTATATTCCAACTACGAAAAAGCAAGAATACTCAAAGTGGGATGAATTGTTAAATAAATATGCATACCTCGAATTCATTCGAGTCCTCCGAAATTGATGCAACCAAAAAAGCGAGAAACGTATAGATTCTAATTGTTTCCTGTGTCCAGTACACAGCTTCGCGGATGATAGTAGAAACGAACGAGGGAGAAATGTTGACAACATAAATATGGACTTGTCAACAATTCTAGAATGGGGATCCAATAACTTGGTAGATTTCAATGCAAACAAAACACAAGCATGCCTTTTCTCTAGAAAATCCGATCTCACTGTGCCCAACATAAGCCTGTCAGGAGTAACCATACCTTTGAAGATATCCATCTCGATGCTTGGTATTACTATCAGCAATAACCTGTCTTGGGAAAACCACGTGAGATCAATTGCTGAAAGTGCATTACAAAAACTTGGTCTTCTATTTCGGGCCAGGAGCTATTTCACTTCCAGTCAGCTGCTTATGATCTATAAGGCACAGATCCGACCTATCCTGGAATACTGTTCCCATATTTGGAGTGCGGCACCCAAACATACCCTGAAACTGTTGGATTCTGTCCAAAAAAGGGCAATTCGTCTCGTGGGTGATGCCTCGCTCACAAACTCACTCACTTCTCTGGAACTCCGTAGAAAAGTTGGCGATCTGGCTCTATTTTATAGATATTTTCATGGACGATGCTCTTCTGTAATATCAACAATTGTTCCTCCCTTGGCAGTCCCCGCGAGATTAACCCGTCGAGTTGAGGCTTCGCACCCCTTCGTGGTTACTTTGGAGACCTGCAGACTCGTTCATCCAACGAACAGCGAGGCTCTGGAACACATTGCCAAGGGAGGTATTCCCCGAGGCATCTAACCTCCAGAAATTCAAGAAATAAACACCAATTCCTACCTTATTTAACTTGGTTCCCACGATGTTCTCTGAACATTGCAGGATATATCTTTTCGTGGGAACCAGAACATAAAAAAAAATTTAGGCTCCCCCACAATCTAGTAGAAGGACCCCCTACATATTTTTACACAGGGTCCGTCCAGAGTAAGCTACGCCACTGCCTTAACAATGGGCAAATAGGGTCAGACTGCAATTATTGGAGGTGTAATAGTTTATGCAACTTTATTGAGTAAACCTGCAGTCATAACTAACTTTGTCATCAGATGATTCTTGCAAGAATAGAGTCATTTCAGGTGCAACATAAATAGCTGAACGATCTTGCTGAATAATAATTTCTGAAGTTCATTGTCAAGCAATGAAAACAATGTTGTCATTATCATTATCAATTATTATACTAGAGAACTTCACCTTGTTCTTTTAATTTATAGATTAGGAAATACCTGAGTAGCAGTATTTAATGTTAGTTTCAACACTCAGAATGAATAGGTAATATCATCTTCAACATCATCGACAGGCCATAATTTAGATGGAGAGAATTCCACAAATCACTGGGAAAATAATAAAAATCGAATGGTAATCTTAAACATATAACTTTGACCTTCTCAGTTTGAATATTTTATTATGGAAACTTATGGTCTTTTTCCAAGAAACTCTGAGAAATTACTATGAATCAATTTGCAAAAATTAATATCAATTAGAGGTTGCACAACGACCAACAGATTCTTTGAAAAAATGGTTATCTTCATCCTACTTGACTATACCACAAAAATATTAACTGTATATGTATAATTGTCATATCATTTTCATTGATTTGAATGGTTTTGGGGATCACACAGTGTACTGTAACACTCGATGACCATCGAAAAAACCATGAATTTCGCGAATCCCCATCACACCATCATGGAAAAAATCAAGAGTAATATCCTAATAAAAAGTCAAGGCACATATACCGAAATGTATGACATGACAATAAAAATAACATCGCACTGAATTACAAATTCATTTTCGAATAGATATTTGTGCTATGACCAAGGATCATGCTAATTTTTCTGTGAAGCAATATTATTTCTTCTGTATCGTTCTATCATAACCACAAAGATATGCTAGAGAAATCGAAATTGGTCAAAAAACTAGTCTTATCATCAGGTAGGATTCATTCCACAAGAACAGGAGTATACACGAAGAAAGAACAGGAATAATTGGGATTTGGAAATTATGACCCAAGTTCCTTGTCTAGAGAGGGTGATTCCAAAATTGCTGTGATAAATTACAAAAAATAATTTTGTAACGTATATGTAAGGTCGAAGATAAAACAGGGTCGCTTGCTTAGATCACCCTGTACACCAAGTGAATCATCAATGGAGTATATAAAAACATGAAATGAATTTTGCGTTTGCAAATTCACAATATGTTAATTTGATAAATTATACAGATGAGCATTTATTAGTTTAAAATTTCAGTTCAAGATTATTCAAAAACTTTCCAATGAAAGTGTCATCTCCAAAACCTCTCTAGAATGATCACAATGAATTGGATCTATTTTTAGTCATAAAAAACAATTCATTCATTGTAACAGGATATTGGGTGTTTGTATTTCAATCAATGAATATGAACTAATGATGATGGCTATTATACTCAAGAGCAGAAACTTCTGGATAAACTGATTAGGTAATCACTACTAGGAGCTACTAGATCAATCAATCAATCAACTTTATTATTCCCAAGAAACAACATTTGTTTATAGCAGGGAACATAGTGAATACATAAATATATTTGACAAAATAAAATAAAGAAGACAGTAAAATAAGACTCACACTCAAAAAGAATCTTTTTTTTTCAAGTTCAAATGAATATGATCCTCAATTGACTCAGCTGTTAGGTACACAATTGAAAACTATAGTAGTTGTACAAGAAAACTATAAAAATGAGATAAGATGTCAATATTACAGGAGTAGATGTTTCTTGAATTCTCTTTTAAATTTTTCAATCCTATTAATCAGCTTCAAGTTATTTGGTAGTGAATTGTATTGTATCATTCCATTGTGATAGATGGATTTTTTACCAATATCTGATTTAATTTTCTTGACAGAAAAATGATCTGCTTGTCTGGTTGTATGGTTGTGGTGATTACTATTGACTTGGAAAACCAAATTTGAATGCTTTTGACAATGTTTAACTGAATGAATGAACGACATTAATTTGAATTTATATAAGGAATCTATATCTAATAATTCTCTTCTTCTGTAAAGGTTCATAGTAGGTTCCGAATAATTTAGTCTGTATATACATTTGATAATTTTATTTTGAAGAGTTTTGAGAGGCTTTATAATTGATAGTTTTGTTGAACCCCATACAGAAATCAAATATTCAAGTTTAGAATAGATCAAAGAGAAGTATATAGATTTGAGACATTCTATAGAAACTTGGTTCCGTACCCTAAAAAGTATACCTATTATTGGAGATATTTTTTTCCTAAGTATTTCAATATGTTTTGACCATGACAAATGTTCATCTATGTACAGACCAAGAAACTTGATATAATTTGAATATTTGATGACTTCATTATTACATGCAATTGGAAATTTGTACTCGTTATATCTTGATTTTTTTTGAAATTATCATAAATGCTGATTTACTATAATTTATACTCAATTTATAACATGGCTATGCTTTCTCTACGATTCCTGAAGAAAAGTTTCAATTTGAAGGGAAATACATGTAATGAAATCCCAGGTAGGTAGATATGAACATAATTAGAAATCCTTTTCGTGTGCTCCAAGAGATATAAAAAGGAAGTAGGTATACCTGTTCCAATATAATCAGACTTCTCCTAATGGCAATGTTATTTTAGGAAATTCCTGATCCTGCTTTTGTTTTGAGTCATCATTAGCCGAAATTACCCAATTAAGTTATATCTAAATTGAATTAAAGAACCATAATCATTCAGATTCATGAACCCAAAATCAATTAGTTGGTCCCATCTTATCGATTATTACCGATGACGATGTGATTTTTGTAGGAATATATTGTTTTTTTCGTTTGAAGACAAATGAGTTGGACAAATTGAAAAACCTATACCTATAATCATCAACACGGTGGTCATTTGCCGAATTATTGTTTACAGTCTGTTGAATTCATTCTTTTTCCTTGGGTACATGAAAAAGAATAAATTGCAGATAATATACTGAATATATATTATTGTTATTATATTATACAGGGTGGCATTAATAGAAAATTGAACTTTCGAAATAACAACTTTTTTATCATATGTGTAATTTTTCTATCTAGCTTAATTTTTGAGGAAACAATAAAAATTTTATTTCACTCCAAATTTTGAATGTAGGCGTGTTTTCAAGACTCCCATTGAGATTACTCAAT